CCATCTGTGCCAAGGAGAGAGGCTATCACCAGCAATAGCACCACCTATGACAGAGGGCACTGTGCAGTGCTGAATAAGTCACTATGGATGCCAGAGGGACTGGGGAGTGCTCACTTCACTTGTGTGGGTGTACTTTCCACTAGCTGTTCTAACTTGGATGGAAGACAAGGGCAAAACATGACTGTATCCCAGAAAACTGGGGCTCGCCCTGTGTGTGGCACAAGCATCATGTCTTGCCTGTATAAAGCCTTTTGGCCCTCTGCATATTAGGTGGAATCTTCTCAACACTGTAGGGCCATTTCACCTCATGGTTTCATGGCAGGGACATTTGCTTCCTTCACAAGTCTGTGTGAACAAGTGACAGTACCCACCTCCTCGGTCACCCACAGAGCCACCAAAGATTCCATGTCCCAGAGCTTCCCATAGCAGACCTGAAACTGACCTGGGCTTTGGCCATGGTAGTAGAGTAGAACAGGAAATAGCCCAGCAAAGCAGTGTGGCGGAAGGGGGCAGGAGAGGCACAAGAATAAGGGAGACCTGGACTCTGCCTTTTTGGGAAAAGGAACCAAGCTCATCAATTTGGCTGATAACACAATCAGATTTTTCCAGGTTAAGCTTCCTTTCTGTTATACTTTGATCATTGTGATGCTGTGGTAGAAAGTAAACAACAGCAGTGGTTCAGTCATTTAATCTTTCCCTTTTATAATACAACTTATTTGAAATTTAAATCAAGAAAAAGTTTCTGACTCTGACCGAGGTTGGTAGCATATTCCGGGGGACAGTGGAGGAGCTTGCTTCTGAGCCCCCTATTGTCCACCTGGAGTCCTGCTTGTCTTCCCCACCTGTGCTGAGTGGCTCTTCTGTCTTCCTGGAGTCCCTGGCACATCTGCTTTCCCAGCTCTGTGACTTTACCATTTCTCTACTCCGCACTTGGTGGTTTGGGAACTGAAAATGTTTTAAACTTTTATATAAACAGCTCAACCTGTTGCCTCTCACTTCCCTCCATCACTGAGGCTTTTAAAAATCATGTATTTTTGACTCAAGTGTAAAAAACAAAAATCCTTCAACTCAGCTAGGTTTTGCCTCCTGCCCTATAAAAGAGCTATTTCCCCCTTTATTTCCTTTGAATTCTTCTCCAACACTGTCCTTTCATTCATACTGCCCTGTGATACACTTGAAGCTGTGTTGATTGGACAGAAGTTCATCAGCTCACTTACCTTTACTTGGCAAGATGGTAAAAATAGTAATTTAGTGATGATACTAAAGTCTTGACCATACATGACTTACTGAAGGAAAGGTGAAAAGGTTTTTTTTTATGGGAAATTATGCTTGACTTGCATACTCTAGTTTGATAAGGATAAAAAGAAACATGTAATAGCAGTGGTGTTTATAACTAATTGATCACAACCAATCATAGATTTCTTTGTTCCTTCTCCACTCTCAATGCTTCACTTGACTAGGAAAAAAAAATATATTCACCAAGGAACAGGACTTAATTTGTTCAGACTTTTAAAGGACTTTTGTTAAGTTCCTTTACTAAGGCAAATTTTGAAGCAGCAGTTACTATGGGATGGTGGGAATTTTTCATGCTTTAGAAATAGAGACTTAGGAACAAAGAAACATCCTTCTGGAGAAAATGCTAACAGGAAGTTACCTAAGGCTTGATGCTTGGTTCAACCTTATGTAAAATTTTTATAAATAACCTGAAAGTAGGATTTGACAATGAAATCAAATGTCACTACTTCCAGGCAGTGAAAGGTAGACTAGAAGAGGTTTAAAAAACAGAAAACCAGAGAAGGGTTACAATAAGCAGTGCTGAGAATACTCAGAAAACTGACAGGTGAGATTCAACATAGTATAAGGAAATATATTTATGGAAGAATTACCAATTGATATGCCTGAACGCTATTAGAACTCAGGAAAGAAACTGAAGCATTGCTGAGGGGAGGAGAGATCAATGTGCTGCTAAAAGCCTAATTGCCCTGTTGGCATCATCAGGAAGGACTTTTGGAGACAACAGAGAACAGTGGTTTATACAAAATCATGGATATGTCTTGATCGAACTATCTATGTTTCTACTGACCTTATTTACAAGAAATATGATGGAGGAAAGGTTAAGAGAACAGCAAAAATTATCAGTGGGTGGAGGTATATCCATATGATGACACATCTTTAAAATATAGACGCTTTCCTGCAAAAATGAAAGCCGAGGGGCGTTAGATCAAATATCCAATCAAGAGCAAGGACCTGGTCCTGTACTACTAGCTCTAGGGGTCTATCTCACAGCCGTAGGTAAAGAAAGCACCTCTCATAGCAAATCAGAAATGTAAGGAGCTCATTGTCTAAGAAGTGATGCCAGCAGAAACTATAGATGGGTGGAGGTGTATGAGGAATCCTTGCATGACGGCCTTCTACAAGAATTATAGAAAAGTAGGGTTACTTGGTAATATACAACTGAGAGGGCAACTGTGTCCCTTGACAAACTACTCCTTAGTGCCTCTTTCAAAGGCAGAATGTTGATCTGAATGGATCACGGGTCTTAACTATGACATCTCCAATGTCCTTGAAGGGGGAGGAGGGAGATCTGGTAGCTGGAAAATATATTTATTCAACCTTATGCTCATCTGAATTGGTTAAAAATCATATTCTGATTTTCTTCTCAGCCCCTCCTACCTCCACCTACCATATCCCTCTGGCATCCCTCCATGCAAAGAAAATGTCTAATAGGCATTTCTTGGTATACCTTTACCTACACTTGTGCTTATAGGGTGACAGTAAAAACATATCCATTACGTACCAAGACTAACCTCTTAATGGCTGGAGCTCAGTTAGGTCTCTGGGCTTTCTGAAGGAGTCTAGAGCTCTTGTCTATGTGACAAATGGAGCCTTAGAATTTCTGGCTGTCCTCATGTGGCAGCTTTGGCCATTGTGTCTTGAAATCCTCCCTCAGGAAATGTGATAGGGGTTATCCTATGGGATTTTAGTAAAAATCAACTTGCCTAATTTCATATTCCTGTTCATAATGAAGAAATGTGAATGAGTGGTAGTCCTCAGGATAAGTGTAAAGGAAAATATGCAAGGGAAAAGTAGCAATGTCAGCCCTTTTGGACTGCTTATGATTTCTGCCTTAGAGCTGCAAGACTTGGAACAAGAAATAACAATACCTCAAGAAAATGCTTGGAGAGATAGCACCACTATCCCTCAAAGACTTCAGCAACTGAACATTACCATTTCATCTGTGAAGCATTTACAACTATGTATTATCCATGATTGTCTATATTTCCTGTTTACATGTATGTGCTGGGAATATGCTTTAGTGTATATGGACTAGAGTTTAAATCCTCTCTTTAACTGGGCTGCCCCGATGGCTATCAATCCCAAATTCTGTTTTCAACTCACTGGAATAATTAACCTAGTTTCCCTAATATAAAACAGGTGGGTTCTATTCACATGATGTCTGTTTTTTACCATCTGTTTCATCTAACCTTCATTTTGCCATGGGCCTCAACCTTTATGTCCCCTTTTTATGGTTCTGAAAGGAATGGCTCCCGTATGTGGAATATACAAGGGATAAACACCACCCCTCACATACCCTGTAACTTAAATGCTTCCATTTAACTCACTTAGATTACTTTCCCCTTAGTGGTAAACGGGTTGGGGGATGGGCAGTAGTGGAAAGAAGGTAGTTTTAAGTATTGCCATAGTAATATGGGAACTTTTCATTCTAAACCTTTACCCTAGTTTTTTCTTCTCTGTCATTTATTTAAAATTTGCCTAAACTTCTAAAATCAGTTACAGTAAAATCATTAAAACTATGGAAACAACTGAACTTTGGTACAGAAGTTAGTTTGATGACATCTGGTTATTTGAGAACAGTAAAAGCTGTGTCATTGCCTTATGATTAATCATAGTCATTATTAAGGGTTTCAGAGAATTGGGTGTGAAGCACTATCCTTTCAGAGACCAAGGCCTTTACTAGTTGCTCCCCTACCTTCTGTCAGAATAGGAATATTCTCATACACCTCTGGGTAGGTATAGGTAGTAGCTATTGAATGGGAATTATTTTCCCCATGGCACAAGGGGAAACACTCTTGGATAACCTTTAACAGTGAGGCTTTGCTAAGTGGCCGGACTTGGGATTTGATCTTCCTCCCTTGTTATTTATTAAGTTTCAGCCTTACTCAGTATCTCTAATTGCAATAGACAGAGTTCCTGCAACTGCTAAAAAAAATTCTGTTAGAGCTGAGAGAGTATCTTCTTTTGTCAGTTTATTAATTTTTGGTCAAGATTTAGCCTTAGTCTTAAAGCATTTCTTTGTGGAATGCCCCACTGAAGTGTCTTCTCCATTGGCTAAGTACATGTTTAAAGCCATGGGTTTTAATGTAAGATACCAAAAGTCAGATTTGCCCACCTTCATGAGTCCAAACTGTTTCCCCCACTGAGGGTGCTAAACAGAATCTTTACTAAGACATGCTCAGGAAAGCTTCACAAGAGAACAGCTTCCGTAGAGAGGAAAAATTATTGGGGATTGCCAATTACATACAGTAGCCTTATTACTGCGAATCACTGTCAATAAAAGGTCACTTCATTCCCCTCCATTTGAGAAAAACAATGAGAATGTATCTGATGAACTGGAATCCCAGTCGTATTGGGAAACTTCAGTGTTGCAATATCTAGTCAAACTTTGAGTGTACTGGTTCTGTGAACCACCTGTAAAAACAAATTAAATTTATTAAATCATAATGGTTGTTGTATATCTGTTGATAAGCATCTGAAATATATGGGCTTTTATATTGTTTATTTTCTCAGTTTTAGGGGGAGATTATTACATTGTTTTTAACAGTGCTTGAAGTACTCTTTTATGAGAGAAAATTTTAATGGTTTTATTAGAAAAAGGACTCAAATTTTCACAAAATAGCCAAAACCAGTTGTATTGGAACACCAGAAAATAATCAACTTCCCATTACCACCAGCTAGACAGAAAATGAATACACATAAGGCAAGTTGGAAAACAGTTTAATGATCACTCACCAAAATCCACAGGAGAATCTTAAATGTTTACAAGCACCAGTTATTCCACGATTCCTGCCTTTACCACGTCCTTCATGGTAGAGTATCACAAGTCAAAGTTTCTGGTGGTTTCATCTACTTAAAACTGGTTGTAAGAAACGAACTTTAAGTCTTAGCAACTTTAGGCTTCAATGTGAAACCATTAAAGCTCTTGGCACTTAAGGAGGTTGAGGCAGGAGGGCTGCTTCAAGCCAAGAGTTCATGACCAGCCTGGGCAACAAAGCAAGACCCCATGTCCATAAAAAATAAAAATAAGTTAACTGGACACAGTAGTGTGTGTCTGTAGTCCTAGCTGCTCAGGAGATTGAGGTGGGAGTGTCACTTAAGCCCAGGAATTCAAGGCTGCAATCATGCCGCTGCACTCCAGCACTCTAGCCTGGGTGACACGCAAGACCCTATCTAAAAAAAAAAAAAAAAAAAACCTCTTGGAAAGATTTTTCTCTCTGAAAGCAGTTCTCCTGTCCAGAAAATGTTTATGGCCCACACTTCTTCCAACTGGCCAAGACAAATACTTCAAAATGCCCCAAGAGGTCCCAAAATTTGTCAAGGCAAGTATCAAACAGGCTACATACTTTCTAGGTGTGACGAATAATCAAGAGTTTTGAGAGACATTAAAATCATGGAATCCTTGGAGGACTGAGATACTAAAGCACCAGTAGCCAGTCTTACAGGAAGTCCGGAACCAATACTTCTTCTGTCAGTAACAGGCCTTTCTAGACTTTGGTCTAGAAGAAGATGATTTTTTTGTGCTTCGAGTTAGGGATCTGTCCTTTTGACTTTAACCTTCTAACAGCTTCCCTCATATGTTTGGGTTGCAGTGGTGGCATTTCTCCCCATTTCTCACACACATCCAGTGCTAAACAGAGGGTAAGGAGAAAGTCTTATTATCACACAAGAATTTACTAATCACATAATCCTTTTGAGTCCTGTAATTCTCGTTAACCTTTCTTAAGCTTGCTAAGGAAATAAACCAAGACATTTTTACTTTAAGAGAATGATATAAAATGTATCACATTAGTTTTAGTATAACATTTCATATCAGGCTTTATCATAGACAGCAGTTTAAAACATATTTCTTATAGGCCGCATGCTATGGCTCATGCCTATAACCCCAGCAGTTAGGGAGGCCAAGGTGGGAGGATTTGCTTGAGCCCAGGGGTTTGAGACCAGCCTGGGCAACATGGCAAAACCTTGTCTTAACAAAAAAATTAAAAAGCCAGGGTGGTGGTGTGCACCTGTGGTCCCAACTACTGAGGAGGCTGAGGCAGGAGGATCACCTGAGCCCAGGACCTGCTGTCGCAGTGATCCATGATCATGCCACTGCACTCCAGCCTGGGCAGCAGAGTGAAACCCTGTCTCAAAAAAATAACTACATAAAAATAAAATTAAAAATTAGCCAGGTGTGGTAGTGCATGCCTACAGTCCTAGCCACTTGGGAGGCTGAGGCAGGAGGATCCCTTGAGTTCAGGAGTTTGAGGTTGTAGTGAGCTATGATCACACCACTGTTATCATCTCATTTTGTACACCATCTTAATTGATGATTTGTAAAAGAAAAAAAAAAACATGAAAAAAACTAAAGATCATGCCACTGCACTCCAGCTTGGGCAACGGAGCAAGACCCTGTCTCAAAAAATAGTAATAATTTAAAAGTATGTATCTCCTGCTTAAAAAATAAAAAAATTCACCAGCTAGAGTAGCAATGGGAAACAGCCAGGCTTTTTACTCAATAACGGGGGCAGCTCCCAGGGATCACTACATTAGGGACAACTTACCATCCCACACAGGTCAGCCCTGGGATTGCTTTTCTTTTATTTATTTATTTTTTTACTTCCTCTAACACGGATCATAGGAAACAATGCTTTTCTTATATCTTTACTTTTGGCAGCAGAAATGAGCAAAGTCCACTGGAGAAAAAAAATCTAGGCCAGGTGCAGTGGCTCAAGCCTGTAATCCCAGCACTTTGGGAGGCTGAGGTGTGTGGATCACAAGGACCAGAGATCGAGACCATCCTGGTCAACATGGTGAAACCCCCCCTCTACTAAAAATACAAAAAATTAGCTGGGCATGGTGGCACGTGCCTGTAATCCCAGCTACTCAGGAGGCTGAGGCAGGAGATTGCATGAACCCAGGAGGTGGAGGTTGCGGTGAGCCGAGATCACACCATTGCACTCCAGCCTGGGTAACGAGCAAAACTCCGTCTCAAAAAAAAAAAAAAAATCTACTTCTGTCACCCTGGGCTGAGGAAAGGAATCAGGGAGGGGATTTCCCAGATGGTTCCTTGCCATCTGTTATTGAAACTTGCAAGGAATAATGGTCACGTTCTCCTGAATACAGGGCTCCCCACTTGGTCACCCTCAAGTGCAAATAAGTACTTGTACAGGTGCTCTAATAAGTTCCTTTGTATAGATATTCTTAAAAATAAGATGACCACAGGTAGAATCCAGTATTTGTAACCAACACTACTCACCTTCTTCTACCACCTCCCCGACGAAAACCTTGGAAATGCCAGACATAGCAATAACAACATTCTGAGACACAGAGGTGCCAGTGATAGACTGGATCAGCTTGAAAGAAGGACAAACACTCGGTGATTATGATAGTCAAAGACTGGCTTTGAACACAGTACCAATTAATTCACAGAAAAGGGCAAGATAACTGAGGGACATTTTTTTCCCCACCTAAATAATTCACTGACTTGTCTAACACCTCACTTCAAATGCCAATAGACATGGCTCTTGAGTTTGGTTTTAAAGTATGACAGAAATGAAGTGTGGTGGGCCATCCTTACCCTTTTGATGGCTGCCTTAGGGAAAGCTGAGCGGCGATACATTTCATAACGGTTCAGCTGCTCTTCAGAAAAAGAAGAAACCAGGATTCTAGACAAAGATCCAGGTAACTAAGTTAACTTATAAGAATGAATACAAGATATTATTAAGTCAGTAAAACTCTCAGACAGATAAATTCTTACAGGGTCAATGGCATTAGGCTTGGTGCCTTGAAGAATGAAGATAAAACACTTCTACTCCTAAGGAACTTGAGGAAACATAAAATAAAAACTTTTTACCATTTAAGAAAAATGAAAACAACAACATTGGGTCACTGTATCATATGATACAGACTATGTTTTCAGCATTAGACTAAATCTCCATAACTCTACCTTACTGAATTTCATACTGATAGTAAAAATTTAATATACAAATTTATAATCAAACCAGTAGTTTTCAACATTAACAGATTTAGGGGAAATATCTGCAAAATATATGGAAACAGTTAATACCCCTAATGTATAATTAATTCTTTCAAATGAATAAAGGGGTCATATCAATTTATGAAAATGAACAAAGGATATGAACAGGCAATTTACAAAAATATCAATGGTCAACCAACATGGGGGAAACAAATTAACCTTTATTATTAACCAAGGAAATATTATTTTCATAGATAACATTTTTCACAAATCAGATCACTATTAAAAAAAGAATGCTATTAGAATATGGGGTACAAACCCATACATACTGGCAGAGAACTGGAACACCTTTTTGGAGAGAAATTTGGAAATACTTATGAAAAGCCTTTGAAAATGTTCACACTATTTGAACTAGCAATTACACCTCCTAGAGGTAATTGAAAGAAATGGACAAGTATGCAAACATGTCCAAAGATCCTCCTTGTAATGTCAAAAGAAAAAAAAATAACCAGAACCACTACAGGGATTGGTTAAATTATAGTTCAACAACACAATGCGATACAATGTAGCCATTAAAATGATGATTTATGAGCATATTTACTGACAGGAAAATATTTAGCTATACATAGCAAACATCTAAAAAAACTTTGAAAAGGTCCATATATTATAGCCAACTATACATGCTTAGAGTAAACTCTGGGTGGTGAGTCTCTGGGTAATTTTTTCTATTTTTCTGTATTTTCTGAATTATTTGCAATGAGTCCATACTACTTTTACAATCAGAAAATATAATAAAGCGATTTCCATTTCTAAGAAAACTATGACCTGGATGTATAATTAGTGACATGGAAAATATTCACCATATCTAATGTGAAAAATAGGCTGTAAGAGTATTTGACATTTTTGAAAAAAAATTTATTTATAAATATATATGTATAGAAATTCTCTTGAAACTTTTAACATAAGCGGGATGTGATTTTTTTCTTTTATCTATCTATCCATCTATCTATCTATCTATCTATCCATCCATCTATCTAACTTTTAGAAAGAGTGTCTGGCTCTGTTGCCCAAGCCGGAGTGTAGTGGCACGATCTTGGCTCACTGCAACCTCTGCCTCCTGGATTCAAGTGATTCTACTGCCTCAGCCTACTGAATAACTAGGATTACAGGCACCCACAACTACGCTCAGCTAATTTTTTGAATTTGAGTTTCTTAAGACGGAGTCTCACTCTGTTGCCCAAGCTGGAGTGCAGTGGCACGATCTCTGCTCACAGCAACCACTCCCTCCCGGGTCCTGGTTCAAGCGATTCTCCTGCGTCAGCCTCCCAAGTGGTTGAGATTACAGGCATGTGCCACCTTGCCTGTCTAATTTTTCTATTTTTAGTAGAGACAGGGTTTCACCATGTTGGCCAGGCTGGTCTTGAATTCCTGACCTCAGGTGATCTGCCCGCCTTGGCCCCCCAAAGTTCTTGGATTATAGGCACAAGCCATGGTGCCTGGTCTAATTTTTTGTATTTTTTAGTAGAGATAGGGTTTCACCATGTTGGCCAGGCTGGTCTTGAACTCATGGCCTCAGGTGATCCACCCATCTCAGCCTTCAAAAGTGCTGGGATTAGAGGCATGAGCCACTACACTTGGCCTCTATTTAAAAAAAATTTTTTTTCAAAACAATTATGTCACAGCATAGAAAATATAAATACATAAAAAGAAGGGCAGGCATGGTAGCTCATGCCTGTAATCCCAGTACTTTGGGAGGCCAAGGGCGATCACCTGAGGTCATGAGTTCAAGATCAGCCTGGCCAACATAGTGAAACCCTGTCTCTACTAAAACTATAAAAACTAGCCTGGGCGTGGTGGTGCACCCCTGTAGTCCCAGCTAGTTGGGAGGCTAAGGCATGAGAATTGCTTAAACGCAGGAGGTGGAGACTGCAGTGAGCTAAGACTGTGTCATTGCACTCCAGCATGGGTGACACAGTGAGACTCTGTCTCAAAAAAAATAAAATAAAAACATAATATAACAAGACATGACATGACATACATAACATAAAACATAGTATAGAGATAGGGTTTCACTGTTGCCCACGCTGGTCTCAAACTTGGCCCTCAAGTGATCCTCCCACCGTGGCCTCCCAAAGTGTTGGGATTACAGGTGTGAGTCACCATGCATAGCCATAATGTACTAATCATTTCATTTTCTTTTAAGTTTTTAAAAGAAAAAAAAGGCCAAGAAAAATTTATTAAATTTGTGTGGTCAAGAGAGACCCTTAAGATGGGGAATGATAAGAAGGTGACTTACTGCATCTTCTGAATCTCATCTTCATCTACCTTCTGCTTCTTCTCTTTCTTTTCTTTGGTATCTATTTTCAGTTTTTTGGCTGCAGGAGTAAGTAATGATGAGTCTTCCCTTTCAACTGCTGTTAAATCTGAGACATCCTGACTCTTGAGCTGGGAAGATGAAAGAAACTCTATTATATATTTGCCCTACTTTCCAGGCTAGGGCAAAGTAAGAAGACATCATCCTTATTACAAAATAACAAATCCATTTATTGAGTAGTTTTTCAGTTCTAGGATCTGACTGTACCATCAAGTGTACAATACAGTATCTCTCCTAAGGGAAGATTATAGCTTAGCCGTGGAAAGAAAACCCGCTAAATAATCTAGTTTTCCAGTCCAGCTATGAGCACAGCTCCAGTATCTGCTTACAAGGGTAATGAAATGCCAAGGATCATGAGAACCACTCTCCCTATGGGCCCACTCTTCTGACCTTATTCTTTAGAGGGGTTGTCAGCAAAGTCCCCTCCATCCAGCCAGCTCTTCTGCCTCCAGATCTACAGATCTCTTTACTGCTGCTGATTCCATATAGAATATTAAAAAGGAGGCCTCTTCTCATCAAAACAGTGTTTATTTGGAACTTTCAAGTGAGCTTCTCACATGCAGTGCTCTTCGTTCTTATCCTTCAGTCTTACTGTTTCATGCAAATATTTATTTCACATTACTAGTCTTTTTGAAGATAGGTTTGTCTCTTATTATTTATATCTCTCCCCTATCGGCATTTAACATAATTTTACTAATGCTGAAAGTTTAATAAATGCCTGTTTAAATCCCAAGTAGGCAACCCGAAGTAGGCAAAGACATTCTCAAAAGAAGACATACATGTGGCCAACAATCATATGAAAAAAGCTCAGCATCACTGATCATTAGAGAAATGCAAATCAGGCCGGGTGCAGTGGCTCACGCCTGTAATCCCAACACTTTGGGAGGCTGAGGCGGGTGGATCACGAGGTCAAGAGATCGAGACCATCCTGGTCAACACGGTGAAACCCCGTCTCTACTAAAAATACAAAAAGTTAGCTGGGCATGGTGGTGCGTGCCTGTAATCCCAGCTACTCAGGAGGCTGAGGCAGGAGAATTGCCTGAACCCAGGAGGCGGAGGTTGCTGTGAGCTGAGATCACGCCATTGCACTCCAGCCTGGGTAACAAGAGCGAAACTCCGTCTCAAAAAAAAAAAAAAAAGAGAAATGCAAATCAAAATCATACTGAGGCCTGACATAGTGGCTCATGCCTGTAACCCCAGCACTTTGGGAGGCCGAAGCAGGTGGATCACTTGAGGTCAGGAGTTTGAGAACAGCCTGGCCAATATGGAAAAACCCTGTCTCTACTAAAAATACAAAATTAGCTGGGTGTGGTGGTATGTAATCCCAGCTACTGGGGAGGCAGAGGCAGGAGATTCGCTTGAATCCAGGAGGTGGAGGTTACAGTGAGCCAAGATTGTGCCACTGCACTCCAGCCTGGGCAAAAAGAGCAAAAATTCCATCTCAAAACAAACAAACAAAAAAACTATAAAGAGATACCATCTCGGCTGGGCACAGTGGCTCACGCCTGTAATCCCAGCACTTTGGAAGGCCGAGGCAGGTGGATCACCTGAGGTCAGGAGTTCGAGACCAGACTGACCAACATGGTGAAACCCCGTCTTTAAAAAAAAAAAAAAAGGCCAGGCACAGTGGCTCATGCCTGTAATCTCAGCACTTTGGGAGGCCCAGGCGGGTGGATCACGAGGTCAAGAGATCGAGACCATCCTGGTCAACATGGTGAAACCCCGTCTCTAATAAAAATACAAAAAATTAGCTGGGCATGGTGGCGCGTGCCTGTAATCCCATCTACTCAGGAAGCTGAGGCAGAAGAACTGCCTGAACCCAGGAAGCGGAGGTTGCGGTGAGCCGAGATCGCGCCATTGCACACCAGCCTGTGCAACAAGAGCGAAACTCCGTCTCAACTCCGTCTCAAAAAAAAGAAAGAGGTACCATCTCACACCAGTCCGAATGGCTATTATTCAAAAGTCAAAAAGTAACAGATACTGGCGAGGCTGTGGAGGCAAAGGAAAGCTTTTAAACTGTTGGTTGGCGTATAAATTAGTTCACCATTGAGGAAGGCAGTATGACAATTCCTCAAAGAAATAAAGAAGGAATTACCATTCGACCCAGCAATCCCATTACTGGGTATATACCCAAAGAAATATAAATTGTTCTATTATAAAGACACATGCACACTTTTATGTTCATTGCAGTGCTATTCACAATAGCAAAGACATGGAATCAGCTTAAATGCCCATCAATAATAGACTGGATAAAGAAAATGTATTTTCCAGTATATACCATGGAATACTATACAGCAACAAAAAAGTAGATCATGGCCTTTGCAGGGACATGGATGGAGCTGGAGGCCATTATCTTTAGCAAACTAATGCAGGAACAGAAAACCAAATACTGCATGTTCTCACTAATAAGAGGGAGCTAAATGACGAGAAAACATGGACACATAGAGGGGAAGACACACTGTGGTCTATGGGAGAGTAAAGGGTGGCAGAAGGGAAAGGATCAGGAAAAATAACTAATGGATATTAGGCTTAATGCCTGGGTGATGAAATAATCTGTACAACAAACCCCTATGACACACATTTACCTATGTAGTAAAACACATCCTGCACATGTATCCCTGAACTTAAAAGTTTAAAAACTGCCTGTTTAGGCCGGGCGCAGTGGCTCAGGCCTGTAATCCCAGCACTTTGGGAGGCTGAGGCGGGTGGATCACGAGGTCAAGAGATCGAGACCACCCTGGTCAACATGGTGAAACCCCGTCTCTTTACTAAAAATACAAAAAGTTAGCTGGGCATGGTGGTGCGTGCCTGTGATCCCAGCTACTCGGGAGGCTGAGGCAGGAGAATTAATTGCCTGAACCCAGGAGGCGGAAGTCGCGGTGAGCCGAGATCGCGTCATTGCACTCCAGCCTGGGTAACAAGAGCGAAACTCTGTCTCAAAAAAATAAAAAATAAAAAACTGCCTGTTTAATAACCATAAAAATAAATAGAAACTTCACCCCCTCTGACTGAATGTAGAATCTTAAGTATACTACAAAACTCATTAATGAGATTTAGCTTTTCCTTAAGAAGAATTCAAATTTAAACTCAGACAGGAATATGGAAATGGGGGATGCAGGTGGTCTGTCTTTGACAATCTTTTCAATTTTTTTTTAGTTACTGATTTATACAAGTTTTCTAACTTCTTTGTGCTTCAAGTTCAGTGATTTGTATTTTCTTTAAAAAAAAGTCACCTATTGGCTGGACGCGGTGGCTCACGCCTGTAATCTTAGCAATTTGCGAGGCTGAGGCAGGCAAATCACAAGATCAGGAGATCGAGACCATCCTGACCAACTTGGTGAAACCCCGTCTCTACTAAAAAAAATTACAAAAATTAGCTGGGTGTGGTGGCGCGCAACTGTATTTCTGGCTACTCGGGAGGCTGAGGCAGAGAATCACCGAACCTGGGAGACAGAGGTTGCAGTGAGCCAAGATCATGCCACTGCACCCCAGCCTGGCAATAGAGCAAGACTGTCTCAAAAACAAAAACAAAAAAACACCTATTTTTCTCAGATTTTCATATTTATTTGGCCTAAACTTGAACATTATATGTCTTTACAATTTTAAATATCTCCATATTAGTGCCTATAGCCTTTCATATTTTGTAATGTTGTACATTTACATTTCAAAGAATCAGGTTTTAATTTTATCATTTCTTATGTTTTTTTCAAGTGCGAATTCATTAGTGTCTATTTCTATCCTTATTAACTCCTTGTTCCTACACTCTTCTGATTTATTTTGTTCTTTATGTGTTTTTTTAACTTCATACTCGCTCTGTTGCCCAGGCTGGATCATAGCTCACTGCAGCCTCAAGTGGTCCTCCTGCATCAGCCTGCCAGGTAGCTAGGTCTGCAAGCGTGATTCACCCTACTAGGCCCTTTTTCTGGTTTCTTGAGTTAGGTGCTTATTTACAATATCTTCTGGTTGTTAACAAAAATATGTAAGGTTATAAATTTTTCTTTAAATAAAGCTTTGCCCAAATCCCATAGAATTTGATAAAGTCTTCGTTAGTCTAAAGGCTATTTTTAAGTTTAAAATTTCTAGGGGATTAGTTCTTTTTGATGAGAGAGCTTTTTGTAGTTAATTTCAAGTTTAATGCATTGCATTAACAAGATGTGGCCTGTTATGATTTCTACTTTTAAGAATTGATATTTTTCTTTGTGGTCTTGTACATGATCGATTTTTAAAAGTGTTTCAGAAACATCATAATTTTATCCTCTGTTCAGTGCAAATTTATATATATAGTGAGCTCTCTAGTGTACTAGACTCATTATTCAAATCCTTGCTGTCCTTGACACCTGTTTTAAAGTTTCCTTCTTGGCCAGGAATGGTGGCTCCCACCTGTAATCCTAGCATTTTGGTAGGCTAAGGTGAGAAGATTGCTTGAGTCCAAAGAGTTCAAGACCAGACTGGGTAACATAGTGAGGCTGTGTCTCTACCAAAACAATGTTTAAAAAAAATTTAGCTGAGTGTGGTGGAGCATGCCTGTAGTCCCAGCTACTGGGGAGGCTGAGGTAGGAGGATCGCTTGAGTCCAGGAGGCAGAGACTGTGCCCTGGCACTCCAGGCTGGGTGACAGAGCGAGACCTTGTCTCAAAACAAAACAAAACTGCCTTAAAATAATTTTGTCAAATTTTCTTTTTCTAAAGTTCTTACTTTATATATTTTGATGCAACTTTATGCTCTGAAAGGTTATTTCCATCTAAACTACTGTTCACCCCACAATCTCTTAATTTCCTTCTGGCTCTTAAATCCCAAGATTCTACTTCTAGAAATGGAATCCAGAGAACGATGAGTTTCTGATTTGGACCGATGCTCAGCTAGGCAATACTGTTGAACTCTCTGTAGCATAAAAACACCAGACTCAATTGATGGGTCTGGTGTTTTTATGCTACAGAAATCCCTGATCGCCTGGCGCGGTGGCTCACGCTTGTAATCCCAGAACTTTGGGAGGCCAAGGCAGGTGGATCATGAGGTCAGGAGCTCGAGACCAGCCTGGTCAACATAGTGAAACCCCATCTCTAAAAATACAAAACATTAGGTGGGCATAGTGGTGTGCGCCTGTAATCCCAGCTACTTGGGAGGCTGAGGCAGAAGAATCACGATAACCTGGGAGGCGGAGGTTGCAGGGAGCTGAGATCGCGCCACTGCACTTCAGCCTGGGTGACAGAGTGAGATTCCGTCTCAAAAATAAACAAAATAAATAAATTTTAAAAATCTATCTATCTATCTCCGATCATTAGCATCTATCTATCTACCTATCTATCTATCTATCTCTGATCATTAGCATCCAGGTCACCGGTACCAGTTAAATGTCAAGAGGGTACTAACACGATTGAACCTGTAACTCTATAAAAATCTATCTCCCTTTGACAGGTCTGATAGACCTTCCTCCCTGTAAAGACAAAAACTGTCGGCCGGGCGCGGTGGCTCACGCCTATAATCCCAGCACTTTGGGAGGCCGAGGCAAGTGGATCATGAGGTCAAGAGATCGAGACCATCCTGGTTAACAAGGTGAAACACCGTCTCTACTAAAAATACAAAAATTAGCTGGGCATAGTGGCGCGTGCCTGTAGTCCCAGTTACTCGGGACGCTGAGGCAGGAGAATTGCTTGAACCCAGGAGGCGGAGGTTGCGGTGAGCCGAGATCGTGCCATTGCACTCAGCCTGGGTAACAAGAGCGAAACTCCACCTCAAAAAAAAAAAAAAAAGACAAAAACTGTCTTAATATTTAAGAGGAACCAGATTGCGGTGAAACGGGTGCTATGAATCCTGGGTTTTAGCTCTTGCACTACGCCTCAGTGTGACATCGGATCCCAATTTCCTCACCACGAAAGCCAACAAGCTATTAAAACTCCCTTAGAAGTAGCTTTAATCCCTAAAGACAAGACGAAAAATATTAACACAGTGCTTGGGCCTCTGCAACCGAACCAGCACTGGGGTTTTGTTTGGTCGTCTTCTCTCTTCCCCTTCAAGATTAACGATCTGGAGGGAATTCTGGTGAGTTCGAGTTCTCGTAACTTGGGAGGGACTACCAGAAGCCCAGCGAGCAGCCAGTAACACAATCTCATCAGCACATCTCTTCCTACCTCGCCTTCCTCCGCTGCAGCTTCTTTTAGGTCCGCATCTGCGTCTCCATCAGTTTCCTCTGGGATTCCATCCGTGTCGGTAGCCCCCGGGTCCCCGGGCGCAGCGACGGTCTCATCCGACTCCCCTGTCTCTCCGCCTTTGTCTGTGGGCGACTCGCGGGCATCGTCCATCGCGGATAGGATTAGAAGGGAGAGGAGATCGCAGCACTGTCCGAGGCTGGAGCTCGGAATCCCGAGCTGCACAGGACAGGATCTTACTTCCTGTAGTCGCGCCGCGATGACATCACCCCTACAGCTCTCCTGAGGGGTCATTTTGAGGCGCGCGTAGAGGCGACTTGACTCATTTTAACTTTGGTTTGGCCACAGTGGGGAGCGGGAAAATTGGACGTAAAGAGTTTATATTGTGGATCCTCCTCGCTAGGAAACCAGCGCTTGTGAAGGAGCGCAGTTTTGTTTACTAAAGAAGTTTTTCATTTTCGTCTATCTAAAAATGCAATGTCAGTTAATCCCTTCTTTCACCCCTCAAAGTTGGGGGACTGGGGAAAAAAACTCAGTTCCGTTTTATGGCGGTGTCGTGGAATGAGGCTACCGGGGACTGGCAAACTTTCAGGCAGGGACTCAACCTTGTATATTTCTACTGGCCAGAGACCGCGGGTCTCTGTGTGTACATGGAATTGCTAGCATTTCCCCTCCATTCCGCAAGCACCTTAACAACAACGAAAAGTCATATAGCTTGAGCAGAATTTATCCAATTCATTTATTCATCCACAACTATTGACTACGTACTTCGATTTAGAAACAGTACTAATACCAGGGAACAAAACACACGTAGTTTCTACCCAATTAAAATTTTTTCAGTTCGCCAGGACTCAAGATTGAGGTTGATTTCTACAAACCTGACACTTTTCTATTAGTTTGGTTAATTTTATCAAAACTAAGAGGAAAGCCTGAAGAGAGGAAGGTGTCTCCTTTGAACGTTACACTTTAATGAACTATTTCGTGTACTGGGAGGATGAATGAAGTGGTGAGGATATTTCTATTTTAAAACTTTCTTCTCTTCCCTCATTGAGGTGCGAGGGGAGGGCGTTTTACTCACCTGGGTATGACTAGATACCCGCACCTATTACATATTTATGTTTGCTGAAAGAATGGACTTGGAAATGTAGGTGCGCGTTACCATATTTATCTCTTTGTTTCTAGCTGCCTGGACGAATTACCGTATTTCCTGTTCCAGGAGCTCCCAAAACCTTTGGGGAAGGAGCGCACTTCGGGAGGCGCGTACAGGTGGGCCTGTTTGTCCCTTTCCACCTGTACAACGGGGGCCCACAAGGCGCTGTCCCCATGCCCTCAGAGGCCTGTATCGGCCTAGATATGTCCACCTGCGCTGGTCCGGGGAGCCCCGCCCAGCTAGGTGAGCAAGGGGGCGGGGCGCGGGGGGCACGGTGACGCGTGACGCCAGATCCCGGAAGTGACGCGCTCGTGGGGAAAAGGCAGGGAGGGGGGGTGGTGTCCCCAGCCGGTTTGGGGGGTGCGTTGCCCGGAGACGGAAAGTTTGGGAGCCGGAGCAGGCTCGGCTGGAGCCCCGGGGACGGGGTCCAGCGGGTGGCGGCCCTGGGGATGGGGAAGGAGCAGGAGCTGCTGGAGGCGGCCCGCACCGGGCACCTCCCGGCGGTGGAGAAGCTGCTGTCCGGGAAGCGGCTCTCCTCGGGCTTCGGGGGCGGCGGCGGTGGCGTCTCTGGGGGCGGCGGCGGCGGCGGCGGCGGTGGCGGCCTTGGCTCTTCCAGCCACCCTCTCTCCAGTCTGCTCAGGTGGGTACCCGCCGGGGCCCGGCCGCTGCCTGCAGACCCCTTCTCCCCCACCGGTCTCTTGGGTCCCCAGAGAGATCGGTACTCCTGAGACCCGGCAGGGTGGGCTTGTGGGGTGCTCCGGGCGAGGCAAGCGGCCCGCGGGCCAGGGAACTGGAGGGCGCGCGGGTCCGGGTCCACGCCGCTCCGGGCTCTCCTGGTCTTCCGTCCTGACCTGGCTGCGAAGAATGGTGGGAGTGCCCAGGTGGCAGCCTCCGCCGCATGGCACAGCCAGGCTTCAAACTCGCTCGCTATAGGGTGCCAGCTGTCGTTGCTCACAAAAGCCAATTTAGAGCAAATATGTATATCATATATATACATATGATCTCCCTCACCTCCTGCAGAAAATCCCACGCCTTGTATAATCTCGAGGCGTCTCTGGAGGAAATTCGTTGATTCTCTTAAGGAACTTGGAACCTTCCAACAGGCTACGCAGGACCTCGCTTTTGGTTTTTTGGTTTTTTGGGTTTTTTCCGAGACGGAGTCTTGCTCTGTCACCCAGGCTGGAGTGCAGTGGCTCGATCTTGGCTCACTGTAACCTCCGCCTCCCAGGTTTAAGCAATTCTGCCTTAGTCTCCCGAGTAGCTGGCATTACAGGCGCACACCACCACATCCTCCTAATTTTTGTATTTTTAGTAGAGATAGGGGTTTCACCACATTGGCCTGGCTGGTCTTGAACTGCTGACCTCGTATTCCGCTCCCTCCCAAGGTGCTGAAATTACAGAGGTGAGCCACCTCGCCCAGCCCCTTGCTTTTGTTTCTATTAAAATTGCCTCTGGATTTATCATGTTCAAGACGTCTTTGAGCTCGTCTTGTGCTTGAAGTTCAAATTGTAGTTCCTTGTAGTGAACTTCATTGGATTAGTCTAAGTGGCATATGCAGGAGTCATCTGGGAGCATATTTACGTAGAAATAAAGGCAGGAATATTTGTTTGGGAAACTGAGAAATGCTTTAAACTTTTCCAAAGTCCGTTGTTAAACGCTTGAATCTGGAGCTGCAAGGACCGATAAAAGATCAGTTTTGTGTGGCTTCAAAGGGGGATTGGAGGTGCTTTGTGAGTGTGAATTAAATGTGTTGGTTCAGCAGCGCTTTCATAGCCTGATTTCTTTTTCCTTCCTTGTTCTTTTGAGGTTTTTGAGAAGTGGAAGTTCATTTAGAAATGGCTTCGTTAGCTTTTGTTCCCCATTACTTTATGTAACTTTAGTTTGAGTGAGCTTGGGCCACAGAAGCCTAAGGCTGTAATAAATTGTTATTAATAGATATTAAGCACTGAGTACCAATCCAGGTCTTTACAGGAAGATTTTAAAAAGCAGTATAAGTAGGTACTTAAGATTTGTTGAAAAAATAAAAGTATCAATTGGAGGACAATAAATTTCTAAATAACTGGATGGTGGATGGTATTACTCACTGTAATTGCTAGCAGTCGAGAGAACAGAGACATCATTTAGGGATGGAGTGGAGGTCAGGGCTTCTAGAAGGCGGGATACTTAAGCTGGCCTTGAAGGATGTGCGGATTTGGGTAGGTGAGTTATGATGGGCGTGTTTCAGGTGGGTTCCCCATGTTCAGAGGCACAGAAATGAGAACGGAAACTCATTTGGTGCTCCTGGGTCAGTGGGAGAACTTCCTGCCTGGACCCTTGAGAGTCTGGGCATAATAAAAGTAAATAATAATGAATGGGTATACTTCCATATGTCATGTTTATATTTTCGGTCCCTAGTTCAACTGACAACTTACAGGTGTTCAATAAATGTACAGTGAATGCATGAATTGGATTCTGGATCTTACCTGGATTTGCCACTCGGCAGTTCTGCTGTCTGAGAGGTGACAAGACTATACAAGTTTGGAGATGCCTCTGTCTTTAATGAGTTGATGACATAGCATTTGGAGATTTTCCAGAGATATCTTAACCCTCAGCATATCCTGCTAAAGTGAGAAGTTTCTCATATCTTCCACCTTCAAGTACAGGTCAAGTTATTCTTTTTTGTTGTTGTTGAGATGGAGTCTCGCTCTGTCGCCAGGCTGGAGTGCAGTGGCTGGATCTTGGCTCACTGTATTCTTCACCTCCTAGGTTCAAGCAATTTTCCTGCATCAGCCTCCCAAGTAGCTGGGACTACAGACACACGCCACCCCACCCGGCTAATTTTTGTATTTTTAGTAGAAACAGGGTTTCACCATGTTGACCAGGATGGTCTCTATCTCTTGATTTCGTGATCTGCTCATCTTGGCCTCCCAGAGTGCTCGGACTACAGGCACACGCCACCCCACCCAGCTAATTTTTGTATTTTTAGTAGAAACAGGGTTTCACCATGTTGGCCAGGATGGTCTCTATCTCTTGATTTCGTGATCTGCTCATCTTGGCCTCCCAGAGTGCTGGGATCACCGGGCTCCATGCCCGGGTGAGGTCAAGTTATTCTTGGTGCGCTCACTCAGAGACCGTTGAAATTCTGCTGAGTATTTAACTGCCATATAGTTAACATAGTTAAGCAAGACTAGGAAATCTGTTGAGCACAGTGCTTCTACTTTGGGCCTTGCTTATGTGTCCCATCTCTGTCATAAAGTGTGGGTGGTAACTCTCCATTCCCCAGAGTTAGAGAGCTGCTCCTCTTGACTTGTTTCTGTGTCTTTTATGAAGAGGGAAGATGCCTAAGAGCTTCCCAACCTCTCATTCCTGTGACTCCTAGGGGAATGGAGGATCTGGAGGCACTAGTTATACTAATTAGAGGTGGCTCTGGTTAAATCTAGTGAAAGATTTCTGAGCAAATGAGACCATGCCTAGGTCAGTATGTCCTCCCTTTTTAGATTTGGACATAGTAAAGGGTAGGTAACCTCTACCCCCAACCCCCTCTTTGCCCCAAAGACCCTGGATTATTTAATGAGAGCGGTGGAATCATAGCTTCAGATCTGGCCTTTATATTTAGGTGCCATATTCTACCCCCATTTGTACTGCCAACTGTAACCTGCCTTTGTCCAGGTGTCTGAGTGATGAAGTAAAGCTGGCAGGAATAGGAGCCTACAGTTGCAGGGGAATAATTGTTCCAAACCACACATGTGTTTGTGTATTCATCTGTTTATGTTCCCCCAGCCCCTATTCCACAACGGCTTTCTGTTTATTCTTAAGCTACAAAATGCCCTCTTCTCTTACTCATCCCTTTTCCTCTATACAGCTTGGGCTTGGGTTTTAACTTCTTAAAGCCCTTCCTGATGACCCTAATACACACAGATCTCTCAAGCTTCTACGTCTTTGGAGCACGTCATCTGTAGTCATTCTTTGCTTGCGTAGCTTTCACAGTTGATCGCTTTGGCCTGGCAGTATAATGTTTACATATAGTGACCTTCACTGATTGATACAGTATCTGAGAATCAGAAAGTCAGCAAAGAAGACTTCTACTAGAAAAAATGTTGTTATAAACTTTGTGTTCTTCCAGCCTCCCTTATTTAACTGGACATTTATTC